CAGTCAGGTCGGCAGTCTTACCCATGATTGCGGTTTTGAGTAATGAACCAGGCTGGGAGTTTTTAAAAGCCTCAGGAATCTTTTGCAGGTGTTTAGAGTTAATTAGTTGATTCAGATGATTAGGTTAATAGCTCGTTTAGAGAACCTTTTCATGATATGCTAATTTTTTGAGATAGGAATTTTGGGTTTTCATGAGCTGTATGCCAAAATCATCAATATTAAAACAATAAAAGGCTTGAACTACTTCAGTTGTGTGTAATGAATCTAACATATATGAAAGTCTAATGTTTATCAGTCAATTACAGAAAATAATGAACTTTATCACAATATGCTAATTTTTTGAGAAGGACCTGTACAGGAGCCTGTCATCTCCGCTGACGGTAGAGCCGGGTAACTGATTATCTCCCTTACGTTTTTTTATACTTTGTTTGTGCCTGGCACTTTTTCAAAGATCACGATAAGATCAGGAAAACAACGCTGAGTCGTCACACTGGGCCGTCGCACGACTGCTGGTGAAACAAACAATTATTCACCAAATGACAAAATATAAAGCTTTTATAGAACAAAAACTAGGCTTTTTATTAAGACTATTTCTGTTCTGCTTCATAGTTTGTATAAATATTTTTTAAAATGTTGTTACAAAGATATGCAGGTATGAGTATGATTTGCCTAATACCCAAGGACGGGCAGGCATCAGATAAGCATAGATTTGGTGCCAGTAGATGTTTATCAACTGAAGGTAGAGGTTCTCTGGAGGATATGACTGTGTCACAACAGCACCACCTCCTGTCACTCATGCTGTTCCTCATGTCAGTGCTGCACGACCCCATTTATATAAAGGGGGCCGGACCGCAATGTTTTATTTCACTTCCTGTTATTGTTAGTTAAGAGGCTTCGGAGCACGAGTAGATGGAAGGTCTCTACAAAGATGGAAATGAAAACACGCTTGTGCGTTAAGCCTGCGTCTGCTTGGGGGCTTTTCAGGGGGACCGGTTTGGGGGGGCTCTGGACGCCGCCGCCAAGGAGTTCAGCAAGGCCTTCGACAGTGGCCTGCTGCCCATGGAGTTCGTCAACAAGATGAAGAAGGAGGGCAGACTGATCATGGGCATTGGGCACAGGGTCAAGTCGGTCAGTTATGATCGAAATCCTTACACTCCGTTTCATCTCATAACAAAATATCTTAGTTCAACTATGCTTGGTTCTGAAAACATCATCTCCCTGCCTACCACACATACAGGTGAACAGTAAAAAAAAATTTTGAAGCCCTTTTTCTCAGTTAGCGTCAGTGTAGTTACGTTGCTTTGCCTTTGTGGGGCAGTATAGAGGTCTGATGGGAATAGATCTTTATTATAATTTCTATTTAATGTTTTTTTTCTAAATGGTCATACTCTGAAACATACACCAGAGTGCAGTCTAAACTGATTCTTCCCTCGCATGACCCAGAGCTCTTAAGTGCTATTTCAATAAGTTATTGTGTAACGGAAACGAATTCCACCCCTTGCTCTGCATTGAGGTCCTTGAGGTTTAATGGGAGGAGAAAACTTGCCCGAACGATAACCCTGCAAATCTGAGGGCAAGATCAGCTGGTAGAGAGCAATAAATCACTGGATGGGCAACATAAATGTTCACTCATTGCCACTGGTGTACCTTCAAAGAGTACCTCCCCCTTCCCCCCCTTACATTTCCAGATTAACAACCCAGACATGAGAGTTCAGATCCTGAAGGACTTTGTGAAGCAGCACTTCCCAGCCACTCAGCTGCTGGACTACGCCCTGGACGTGGAGAAGATCACGACCTCGAAGGTGCCACAGTCTCGCTTCATGGGTGTCGTAGCATGTGCATGAATGAGTGTAGATGGGCTTCGTCGCGGCATTTTAACTTGACCTTCTAAAAAGAGCTCTGGAGTCCATCTTATCTGACTACCCCTCCCACACGCGCACAGAAACCGAACCTCATCCTGAACGTGGACGGCTTCATCGGGGTGGCCTTTGTGGACCTGCTGCGGACATGTGGTGGATTCACTCGGTAGGGAGGGACCGGGCACCGGTCCGCAGACGGCTCTGTTCACGTGTCGCGTTTTCCCCGCTCAGGCATCACTCCTGTCTCTACCTTGCAGGGACGAGGCTGACGAGTTCGTGGAAATCGGGGCTCTGAACGGAATCTTTGTCCTGGGTAGGAGCATGGGCTTCATAGGTGAGCGGTCGAGGAAGACCAAGCAGTCATACATGCGTGTCATTAGCCTTTGTTATACCTCCACATGTTGATTTTAAATGGTGCTTAAATTTCAAGCCACGAAAAAGTGGAGTCAGGTCTTCCCCATTTCTTACTCTTCTCAGGGCACTATTTGGACCAGAAGAGGCTGAAACAGGGCCTGTACCGCCACCCTTGGGACGACATCTCCTACGTGCTTCCGGAACATATGTCCATGTAACCATAGCAACTCCAAAGCCAAACATTCCAGAATATCACCTTCTGTGCTATACTTTGGGACCGGGGGGGGGGGGAGAGGAGTTAGGGTGTGGATGAGATTTTTTGAGAAAAGGGCAGCTGAGAGTGAAATATCGTGAAGGCAAATGTCGGAACTTAGGAGTTGTTATGATGTGAATGTTACGGTAACGGAACAATGAAGACCCATGTGGATCACAATTAGTCAAACGAAAAGACTGTAGCTAATTAACAGACAGTGACCAATCAGTGACTCACCACTAAACACTGTGACTATAAGCTCATAGCCGGGGGATATCAGAAGGGAGAAACGTACATCTAGCTGACCAAACTAAGTCAGTAGACACCTTAATTGGGTCCCTTTTCCATTTGTGTGCATGACTGAAGTAAAATCTGTATTGTGACCAAGTCCTATGTCTCTCAAATTAACAGACTATCATCACGCAGATAGATGTGCAGCGATGTTCGTCTCATTTACCTTGTTCCTTACCACCAAAACTCTGCGTCGCTACGGATACGCACAACCAGCTAACTGCAGTTTGGAAAATCGCTCTATCTAAAATAGAAAATGCTTAAGCGTAATTAGTAAACACCACTCGAATAAAAAATACTATTAACAAAAACATTAACTTTGTCTTGTGGTTTTGAGATGACATGTCGATCAGTTCAAAGCTGGGTCCATTAAACCAAACTGTGGACTTTGGCCTGTCATTGCAGAGGAAAAAAAAAGGTGTTTCCTGTTTCTCTTTTCATGGCTTCCTGTAGTCTGCTATCTTTATCTGTGTGACTGTGTCCTGGATGACCGGTTCTGAGACTGAGCCTTGTCTGTATTCACTGTTGTAACCCATTTGCTACACTTTTAAAGGATTTATTTTATCTGAAACAGATGTCTTAATGTATAATTAGTATAATATGATAAATATTATATTGTAGCCAATAAAAATAAATGTAAATATCACAATTCATTTTCTGATTTATTTTGTATATCCTTGTTTGATAATGGACAGACAGGTGTTCTTTATTTTAACACATCATTCTATAGCTGTAAGTAATTTATCTAACAAACACCACAGCCTCAGAAGGCATAGAGGAAGGGGTTAAAACACTGTTCAGTCTTCCCTTTAGTATTGGTTATGTGTGAGTTATGTAGTCTGCTACATAATTACTGGTTCTCCGGACATACAACTGCAGGCAGTTTGGTTCCACCGATATATTCTCTTAGGAGTACCAGTTACCAAAGCAAAGGTCCTTGTGACCCGGAACGTAAACACGGAACCAAACAGTATCATAAGACATACATTTTGACTGTAGGAGAAATTAAGTGTTCTGTTTTCAATAGGTTGGGGATGTTTAAGGCCGTAGGTTCAAATCCTATAGCAGGCAGCACAGTCAATTCACCATTAGGCCTTTGAGAAATGCCCTTAGCCATAATTAACTACTAGTCTGCTATGGCAGTGTTTCCCAATCCGGTCCTCAGGGAACCACAGTCGGTCCATGTTTTTGCTCCCTCCCAGCTTCCTGGAGGAAGCAAAAACATGGACTCTGTGGGTAACTCAGGACTGGATTGGGAAACGGTGTGCTATAAGAAATCCCAGCTGTACTCTGACCCCAACACATGTATATATGTGTCTGTCTTTCATGAAGAGGAAGATAGGATATGTAAAAACTGGCGTAATTTAATGAGCTGCCGAATATAGTGCCTTACAATGATTAATGCCTTATATTTGATTGTATTGCCCTTTCAAATGCATTGTCAGACATGTTCTGCAAACTTTCATTTTAGCTCAGATGGGATATTTGCTATCTAAATGATTTGTTTCCACTCATAATTTCTGGCAAACAGGTACTCACTTTAACCTGGATCCGACTGTCATAATTATTTTTTATTGTTTTTCTTTTTTACCGGTTATAGATCACCAGGCTGCTTTTTTCTCTCCAAATTGTGCAGACGCATTTCTGTGTGTGCCTGGTGTAATTATTACAAAAAAGAGGACAAGTCAAATCAAAAACCTGAGACATACATATAGTACCTCACATGCGGCCTATTGGATATCGCATCTCTCTCTAGATGACACCAATAGCGGATCATCAGAAAGAACAAAGATAACGCATCTGCTTTTTCAGCATAGTGACCTGTCAATGCATGTAGATAAATCAAATTGGCACTTGCAGTCCTTCTCAAATCAGAAAACCTGCCCTTGCAGTCCTGCCGCCTTTATTCGTTCTAATATATTAATTACCGCGACCAGACCATGTATCATACATGGATACATTAAACATGCATGATTTAATGTAGAACACGTTCAGAAATTTATTTTACCAATCCTACTCAACTCAGAGCATAATTTCTTTTTATTTTCAGCAATAAGAAAAATAAAATTAATTAACGTTATTTCATAACTGATTTTACAAATTCTGCAAAAAAACATTAGCTTGGTCTCGGAACGTTCAGTATATTATTACTCCCCAAAGGGCCACGTACCTTTTCAAAAAGAAGCGCGCAGCTGCAGCGCAGGCCTGATCTCCTCACAGAACGCCAGTTAGGTCACTGCAGCGACGTCACTTAGCACCTTATGCGCATGCCCCAAATTTGGGGTTTTCGGATTTGGGTTCGTGTGTGTGTACGCGCGCGTGTCCGCGTCCTGTGGGCGCTCCTGCATCCTACTGCCGCAATTTCTATCGTAGCGTCTGCAGCCAGCATGGCAGCAGCCGCCCCTAACCCGGAGGATGTAAACCGGACCGGCGGCGGCAACGGCACGACAAGTTCTCTGGCCGGGGACGGAGACTCGGAAGAGGCCGAGGGCTTTAACTCCGCCACTCATTGCTCGGAGCTGTCTCGTCGGCAGAACGAGCAGCGGAAGCAGGGGCTGTTCTGCGATGTGACGCTGGCCTTCAGCAGCGGCGGGGCCGCCGGTGGCGTGAGGAGCTGCGAGTTCTCCGCCCACCGCTCCGTGCTGGCGGCGGCCACCGACTACTTCACCCCGCTGCTCGGAGGGCAGTATTCCGAGTCGCTGTCCAGACGCGTGGAGATGAAGGAGTGGAGCTCCGAAATGGGGCCCGACCCGGAGACCGTGGAAATCGTCATTCAGTACATGTATACCGGGGAAATACGGGTCAGCACTTGCAACGTCCACGAAGTTCTGGAGCTGGCTGACAGGTGAGGGGCAACCATCTGTGGCTGTGGCTGTGGCTGGCCTGCAGTCGTAGGGTTATGAACGATCAGCAAACGCTATGATTTTCAGCCTGGCGGCTGCTCATTGCGTCTATAGATGGTTGTTTTATAGCTGTATCGCATACTGTGTATATGTCTGTCCACATAAAGGTACAGATTTGGCAGACAAAATAAGTGTTTAGCCGTCAAATGTAAATGTGTGTGCAGAGTCTGGTCGCTGCATTTCAATTGCCACATACTGCCACATACTAACCCCCTCGATTCATTCTTCACTTTTTTTTGGCAGTAGTAATATTTTGAAACTTGCAGAATGGAATATTTTTCCGGTCTGTAAAGCTGTGCAGTGACCCCCTTAGCGGGGTTCCCTTTGCGTGTGTCTTAGTTCGGTGTTTCCTATCGTTTTGTAGCAGATGAGTGACCAAACGCGCTGTCCTCTTGGCGAAAAACTTGTCAGTCCTGAAATTCTGCCATGACCTCCCTATGCTGGTAGCCAGCTGCATTTAAAACTGGTTTGTTTTTGAAAGAAGAAAGGGCCACTTTTCCCGTGCTTTTTCAATACATATTTTCTTTTGTCTCCAAAAAACAGGATATCGTTTACAATTTTTTTAAAACCTGCGTAAGTGACCAGCTGCTTATTTGGTCGAAGAAAATGCGTATGAATCATTTTAATCAAATGTAGAATTAATATTTTACTTAATGGAAAAAATATCCAAGACATTAATTTAATTTAATAGTAAAGCAGAAAACAGCATTTACAGAGGGCTGACTATGTACGTTTGTTGTTGATAGTATGTTCTGCTCTTATGGTCCAGGTTCTTACTGGGCCAGCTGAAAGACTTCTGTGGCGAATTCCTGAAAAAGAAGCTGAATCTGACCAACTGCGTGGCCGTGCACAGCCTGGCCCACATGTATTCACTGGACCAGCTTGCACTGCGTGCCGCCGACATGATCCGGCGAAACTTCCACAAGGTCATCCAGGACGAGGAGTTTTACACACTGCCCTTCCACCTGGTGCGCGACTGGCTGTCGGACGCTGAGATCACCGTGGATTCCGAGGAGGTCCTGTTCGAGGCCATCGTCAAGTGGGTGCAGAGAAACCTGGCCGAGCGAGAGAAGCACTTTGAGGAGCTCTTCCGCCTTTTGCGGCTGCCCCAGATCAAGCCCACCTACCTGACGCGGGTGGTCAAGTCGGAGCAACTGGTGGCCGATCGGGAGGCCTGCCGACGGCTCGTCTCGGAGGCGGTGGAGGGTCACGCCCTCCGTTTTGAGAGCCATAAGTCGGCCGATCTGGAATTCTGGTCCTCCTACATGGCCTCTTTCCAGCCGCGCTTCGGCCAGAACATGGACGTGATCATGGTGGTGGGCGGGGTCTCGGAGGGGGGAGACTACCTGAGCGAGTGCGTCGGTTACTTCATCCACGAGGACCGCTGGGTCAACCTGCCTCACATCCACAACCACCTGGACGGCCACGCCATCGCTACCACTGAGTCGCACGTCTACGTGGCCGGCTCTATGGAGCCCGGCTTCGCCAAGACCATGGAGCGCTACAACCCCAACCGCAACACCTGGGAGCAGGTCAGCAACCTGACCACTCGCAAGCACTCGTTCGGGCTCACCTGCATCAAGGACGTCCTCTACAGCATCGGCGGCCATGGCAACTTCAGTCCCGGCTTTAAGGACGTGAGCGTCTACGAGCCCGAGCAGGACAAGTGGCACAATCTGGAGTCGGCGCCCAAGATCCTGCGAGACGTGAAGGCGGTGAGCGTGGAGGACCGCTACGTGTATGTGACGGCCCGCACGCCCGTAGACACGGACAGCGACGACGGGCTGAAGACCATCACCACGCGGTACGATACCGAGAGCAGGCAGTGGCAAGACATGGAGTCCTTGCCGCTCATCGACAACTACTGCGTCTTCCAGATGGCTGTGGCGACCACTAACTTCTACCACACCGCCTCCTGCTGCCCCAAGAGCTACGCGGTGCGAGACGAGGTGGCCCGGCAGAAGGTCAGCACCCGCGCCTCCGACGAGATACTGGAAAGTCTGCCGCCCGAGGTCACCAGCATCGAGGGGGCCGCCATCTGCCACTTCGGCGAGGATGTCTTCATCATCGGGGGCTGGAAGAACAGCGACGACGTGGACAAGCAGTACCGCAAGGAGGCCTATCGCTACTGCGCGGAGAGGAAGCGCTGGACCCTGCTCCCGCCCATGCCGCAGCCGCGATGCCGCGCCACTGCCTGCCACGTTCGCATCCCATACCGCTTCCTGTATGGCTGCCAGCGATACCCCATGCCTCAGAACCTGGCCCGACAGCGGGACCGCATGCAGCAGATGCAGCAGCTGCACCGCCGCACCCTCACGCTGCGCAGACAGCTGCAGTCGCAGATCGAGTGCTGAGCTTCGCCTTCCTGCGCAAACTACGTGGTCGTCGTCATTGCAGTGCCTAACCTGCCCACTAGATGGTCTTGTTTCTGTTGCTGTTGTTTAGTTTGAAGTCAAATAGTTCAAAGTCATGTGGCAGTGATGTGACCAACACCATTCCGCACAGTGACAGTTTCAAATCGCAGTATTTCATTTTCAGAGTTCAATTTTGTTTTATATACATGTATTTATATGTCTTATGTTCGTTAATTTAAATTCCGTCCTTGAAAAGTATTACGGAATCCTCCTTCCTTGGACCTCTGTTGTTATTGCCGTGGAAGAGGCTGCCATGAGATGTGGGGAAATGGCCACCAGGGTGTGCTGTGGACCAGCGTTTAATCTGTGCACGGGGATGATCTCTAGATGGGATCAGAGGAGATGATCCGCTAGAAGGCGGCTAGATACATCATATCACAGCATGTGTGTAATGGCTGTTACGATTTCTGGATGCATTATTTGACTTTAGAAAGGAAGCCAAGGCAGACTGCTCAGTAGTTGACAGACGGCAGCTTTTTTTTGGAGATTTCTTAAAGGAATGGAACAAATGATTATACATTCCTCTGTGATGCACTTGATGTCTAATCGATGTCTTAAGTGGCTGATGTAGCACTGAGTCTTAGAGATGGTGAGGGAACAATGGAATGGGCAAGTTTGGAATCTGTTAGGCGGGCACTCTGAGAGGTGACCGGAAAGGGGAAACTGGGTGACGATATCCCGGCATCTTTACCGTCGTCGGAAAGCCACTGTCACCCGGTCCCCGAAACACAAGGAACTCAAAGAATTATTTTGAAATGGGATCACATTGCAATGATGCTGTCTCCTTTTGTCCTTTTTCCACCTGCAAAATGGAATCCAACACAACAGACAGTGGTTATATTCTGACAACTATACACCAAAACATTCCATAACTACATGTATAAATAGAGAAACTTTATTATTATTATTATTATTTTAGCAAATGCATTCTTTTGGGGTGAGTTACACTGCCATCTTTTCCATTTTATTACGCTGGTCTACTGGACCAATCCTGGAGTATCTAGGTGAAGATTACACCACCAGTGCTGTGAGTCCTGGGACTCACCAGTCCAGCAGTCTGATGACATCAACACACTACATTCCTCTCACTGTAAATGTTTGGACAGTTGTGTATCAAAGTATTGATTTTTATTACATTAATATGAGTACCAATATGTGTAACCGCTCGCTGTGTGCACAGGGTAGGGTTGCAGAAAACACTCCGCTTATGTATAATGATTCTAATTTTAGTGCAGATGCTAATACAGCTAGAGCTTGCTTGACCTTAATCCTTGTAGAAGAGGAGATGGAGACTTTTGCATTTATGGTGGAAAAGAATGATGCTATGAATTCTCAGATAAAAACACCAGTCGCTATGGTGGAAAAAATGATTCAAAGTCAGTGATAGGGAGGATCTTCTTGTACTGTCAAACACTAACCAGTTCAACCCACTACCTAGTGGTTGGTAATCTTCATGAATGTCTCTGCATCTGTAGGATGTCTAGTGGAGAGAGGGTTTTCCCATATTACCTCTAGTTGACCCTGTTTTCTGATGGCTATTCCGTGACGATCGTTACTGAAAATCTAAAATGAAAAAAATTCCCCCTCGTCACTGGTTAGCACGAGCAGGTTAGCAGATTGTCTGTTCTGTTTGTTACTTTTGGGTGTGAAGCTGAAAGGGTACGCTATGCTAACTCTGTCAGGAGAAAATGGGTCCTGTTCCTTTAAGGCCACCTACGTAGGCACTGTGATGTTGCCATTGATAGTTAAGCTATTAGTTGTGCCATTCCTGCACATTAATAAAAGTAGCGTGGGTAGCTCTGCAGTTGGTAGATCTGCTGTATCCCGCTTCTCTTTTGTCAATGTACAGTAATTTGAAATGTTATATGGTTTATATTTTGCTTTGCATGTGAAATCAGTCAGTACAGCAGACATAGTGAAGTAAATGCTGTAATTAATATTTACAATAAATTTTTTGTATGATTTTTTTTTTTGTGCTAATTCTCAGCTATTTTTTTTTTTAGTCAAAAGCATTAACATTCCTGCTGTAATATTTTGAGGATCTGGCCTGGGGACCAAATAGCAAGTACACAATCTGAACCTGCATTTTCAACGGGTAATTAAATGTATGTTCAAATTGAAATATCAAAAAAAGGTAGAACGATATGCTATATTTTAAATATTTGTCATTTATTTCTATAAGGAAAAACATTTACACGTCACTGCCCAGAGTAATCAAATGCAGCGGTCTCTTGTATTATGTTAATTTGTTTCGCTTTGATACCAGAATTTCATTTTACTTACCGAGTTCCACAGTATAACACTGCAAGCCATGATGTTTCAAAATTTCAGCCAAATGTATTAAAAACATATATCAGCCAAAACCAACGTATTATGCACCAATTTTCTTTGGCATAATAAATTAATAAAGTTTGACTGCATTTCATTTTATTTAAAATTGTTACTTATTCAAGCTTTTTGTTGTACTAATGATATTTGGGGAAAATTGTTGGGGCTTTTGGGTGGATTTAAAAATATTTTTCCCTAATTAAAGTAAAAATAGGTATTTGATTTAATATTTTTTCGATTTAAAGTGGTTTTTCATTAGTAGCCTACAGTATATTGAGTAAAGACCGCTGGTAAGTTTCTCTACCACTTGTGAACACAGGGGGCGCTACGCCTCTGCATTCAGATGTGTGGATTATCGGAGAAGTCAAGGCTGGTTAATAAACCCCATAGAGGAGGACACATTTCTCTGCAGCAGCAGATTGGAAAGTCACCCAAACAAATAAAACGCATACATTTATGTGTAAGAGAGGAATTTATTTTCATGTCTATCCCACATGTCCCCTACATCCTGCGACAGACTCCAGAGTGACCATGACTCTGGATGGAAGGTTACTTTATGAGTAAGTAAACTGAAACGTTCTCCTCTGCATTCTTATATATCAGTGTTTTATCCATCCATCCATCATCTTCCGCTTTTCCGGGTCAGGTCGCGGGGGCAGCAGTCTAAGCAAGGAAACCCAGACTTCCCTCTCCCTGGCCACTTCATCCAGCTCCTCTGAGGGAATCCCGAGGCATTCCCAGTCCAGTTGAGAGACATAGTCCCTCCAGCGTGTCCTGGGTCTTCCCCGGGGCCTCCTCCCAGTGGGACATGCCCAGAACACCTCACCAGGGAGGCGTCCAGGAGGCACCCTGGACCCCACTGCTTCACTGGGTTAAATGGAGAGGATGGATTTCAATATGTTCACCACAATCACAAATCACATTCACTTCACTTTCAAGCAGGTTACAGATCTGAACATGTTTTAAATTATTATGTTTATTATGGTTATTGGATATGTATTGCTTTTATTTATTTGGTAAATATATATTTTACTAATTAGTTATAAGTGTTCTTAAATAGCGGTGTTGCACAAGAATTAGTGTTGTTCAATGATGTGCAATTACATTATGCAAATACAAAACCATACAATAAAGCACTTCAACAGCAAAAGTCAACAAACAAATGCAAATAAATTCAAAGTTACATTAAGTGTTGGGATAAATTAAAATCATTATAATGTAACAGATGTAATTAAACTAATCATTATAAAGAGAAATGAGATGTGATCTGTAACTAATCATTGGCAAAGCAAGTGCGATGATCCGCTGTAATGTTTAACGTCACACAAAAACGGAGCAATAAAGTAATGTGTTTAGAAGAACATATAAATCCATCACATATGTCTGCTTGCAAATTAAATTTACTTTAGATGACAGTAAATGACAACAAAACGAAAGGTGTATAGCGACGTAAGTGTTGCTTCTCTCTTCCCGGAAGTAGATAGAGGAAATGGTCAACGAATCAGATCTGAGAGACAGTGTAGTTTCTGACCAATCAGAAATGAGTGTGCCGGGATTTCCGTGGGGTTGTGTTGACATAAGAGGGTCCATACATTTCATAAGATGGCAAGTATACTTCTGCTTTCAGTTTAGCCACTGTTGCTAGCGAGCTAAACGTCTTGCTAGCGTGCTTACATTCAAAATGCTTCTTGACCGTGGGAAATTATCCTATATTTCACTTAACTGGTCTGAAAAGCTTTTTTGAAAATGTATTATTACTTGCAAATAATATGCCATTGCCGATTGTCTGTGGTGTACTAGTTATGTATTCTAAACAAACAAAGCTTTTTCAACATTACAGTGACCCCCGCTATAGCCTATAGCGGTTCAGCTATCACGTCCCCGCTTTATCGCGGGTTTTCCACCGACGCGTCACTGATTTCTGCGTACCGCGTACCTTGCTTGTGGTCCGATTGTTTTCGTTTTGTTTTAAGCCCTACGATGGCTCCCAAGCGTCTTGCATCTTCAAAGCCTTCTGGCAGTAGTGAGCCTAAGCGCCAGAGGATGACCATTCAGGAGAAGGTAAAACCCCTGGATATGCTTCGGGAAGGAAAGCGTTACGCGGACGTCGCTCGCCGTTTGAATGAATCGACGGTGCATGCATCATATATGTTGTTTTAATAAGTTTACATGTGTTTAAAATGCGTGGGAGGGGTATTTTAAGGCTTAAACTATAAAAAAATGTTTATATGGTCTTTCTATATTGTGCATCTTCCGCGATAAGCGTGGGCTCACTGTACTCCCATTTTCCACGACATTTCTGTGTTATCTGAGGCCTGACTCATATAAAAACTATAAGAACAGAGAGGGACAGCTGTTGAGGAAGAGCTGTGTATGTCTTCAATTCCTGCCAGAATATCAGCTTTGTGTTCATCCAAACAGGCTCAGGTTTCATATTCGGGTATTTCCCGTCAACAGCTTACGAAAGGAAAGAAACATTAACATTTAGACTATTTATTAATCTTCTATCAAAGGGTAATCAACTTCTCATAGTTATTTACAGAAAATACTCATCGTTCCTTTAGGAAAGGTTTTCTCCGAATATGCAGCGGGATATAATTCTCGGCGGTAGTTTAAAGTAGTTTGTAAAACCTGAAGTAGCTCAAAGTGTCCTCCCTGACATGGATTATCTGGTCACCCCACAACTGGCCTGCCTCAGATGACTGAAATTTATCAGTAAAAGCAGCTTTGTAATCAATAAGCTTTTAGTATCTGGTGGCTTAAGTTAATACCTGTAAACACCGTACAACCCCCCAGTGGTTTTTTTTCCACTGTTTTACACTTATGTTGAAATGCTGTGGTTTCACTACTCCTCCTGTCCCAGATCCCTAAGCTGTACGAGTCCTCAGTGCAGATGAAAGACCGTCACAGAGTGGAGGAGATCATTGAGTCGATGCGACTCGCGGGGAGTGACGCCTTGCAGGTACAGACAGCGGTCTCCCCGCTCAGAACCAGAGAAGTAAAGGACATGCATCGTCAATTTAAAAAAAAAAGGCCAGCTTCAGTGGTGAAATATACCTAAATTATTGATATATACAAAAATGGCATTTAATCAAACCTTGGCTTGGGTCTGGCCTTCTATCTCAGAGTAAGTTTAATGCCACTTAGTAGTGATCCTGTAAGAATGCTTAGCATATATTTTTTTTACCCTCTGTAGGTGATGTCAGACTTTGACATGACCCTCACTAGGTTTGCATACAATGGAGCACGATGCCCCACCTGTTACGGTAAGTAAAATTAAGAGAAATTTTATTGATCCCGGGGTGGGGGGGACACACATTTGAAAAGTATTCAGTACACACACAAATGAAATATTCTGAAAAACAGAATGTGATAATAAAAATAAGTATTTAAAGGAACAAATATAATTAGCTGCAAAATTATGTGCAGTTAGGACAGAAAGCACTGAGGAAAGCACTGGATTGTAACGGGACAGGATCCTTCATAACGTGTTTTGACTGTGAGTGGGGAGTGACATGTTGGGAGGGGGCGTTGTGGTGTCTGATGGCAGCGGGCAGGAATGTTCCCCAGCAGCATTTTTTGGTGGAATGAATGAGCTGGTGACTAAATGTGCTTCAGGATAGAGCTCCCTGTAGCGGACCGACAGACCTCTCAGCCTGTTAGTTTTTGAAATCTGCTTCTCTTCTATTGCAATATTGGTTACTTGATTGATAAGAACTCTTGTATTAGGCTGAGAAGTGTTCTTGATTTATGTTTGTGTAAAAGATTAGCTGTCTCAAAACACTTTGCATGTCCGTTTCGCTTTAACCCTCACTGCCACTACACAGTAGTGTCTGTTTTTGAAAGACGTTAGTGTCAGATTGTTTGTGTGTCTCACTGCAGCTATCCTGGAAGACAGCGTGCTTATCAGTGGAGATTGTAAAAAAATGGTGAGTTACCCTCATATAGGTCAACCCCAGTTAAAGAGAACCTTAAAAATAATAACAGGATACAATTCACAGTTTTTTTTACAATGTTTTTTCTTTATTCTTCTGGTGCAGTTGCATGTTGTGCTAGAAATCAGGTAACTCACTGCAGAAACATATTTGAAGATCACCAAAATGATTCCTGTCTGTAGACTGTAGGATTCTTTTTGATGGAAAAGATGCTGGTGTGGAGATAACAGAAAATTTCCCAATATAGTCACTAAACACTCAGATTTCTAAAATGGTTCTATTGAAGTCAACAGTGTCCTCTTGTCGTGGAGAAATGTATAACAAGTAAGAACCTTGAAAGATGAGAAATTTTACGACGTTCTACCTTTTGCCCTACAGCTGAAAGATCTGCTGAACAAGTATTATCCAATAGAGTTTGATGCATCACGTACAGTGGAGGAAAAAGTACCAGACATGGTGGATTGGTGTGTAAGATTTGCTTTGTTATCCAGATAACATGGAATGATGTGGAATGTTAGACTCAACACATTTCAAAACTCATGTTCCCTTCCAGTGTTATGCACAGTGTCCAGTTGAAGTTTGTGTGGTGTTCTGCAGGTGGACCAAAGCCCACGAACTGCTAATCGAACAGAAGATACAGAAGGACCAGCTAGCCAGGGTTGTAAAGGATTCTAATGCCATGCTCAGGTAAAGTGTCCACACCTTTCTGCGTCGTACCTGCTCATATGTAGATATTGGGCATAAATTTTTTCCCTAGATTATTGTTTCTTGTTCACTGACACATTCGGACTTCCAAAACAAATATGTATCTAGAGTGTTTTTAGATGCCCATTTACTTTGGTTTGTTTACCAGAAATACTAATAAATTACTACTAATAAAATACTAATAAACTCAAGGCATATATTTTTTCAGATTTTTTATTTTATACAAGAGATAATGAAGATGATGATGATGATGATGATGATTCATCTTACCTCCAGGAAAGAGTATAAGTTCTTCTTTGACCACCTGGACAAGAAAGAAATCCCCCTGGTGATCTTCTCTGCTGGGATTGGAGATGTCCTTGAAGAGGTCATCATACAGGCTGGTGTCTTTCACTCCAACATCATGGTGTTCTCCAACTACATGGACTTTGATGAGAAGGTGAGTCCCACTGGCTTGTCTTGAGTACTTTCAGTGTACTGCACTGGGATTACTAATTGTATGCAAGAAATGGTGATGTTTGCAGCAGCAAAATCTGTAACTGGGTGGAAAGTTCAGATCCTACAAAGTAGTACAAATCCTGAGCAAGAGTTTGTTTCAACCAGCCAGTTGAGCAGCCTCTGACTGCGATTCTTTATGTTCAACTGGTTGGTTGAAACAAAATCTTGGTCTGGATTTGTACTTTCTGGACCTGAACTTTCCACCTCTGTAATTAGCCCCTTTTTTCTTGTCAATACTAGATAAAAGTGGAAAGTGTAGGTATTTCTGGAAGGAGCTTTGCTGTACAGGTGTGGCACTGCTTTACCATCCCACCTACCGCGACACCTTTCTGCAATCAGGGCACCCTGCAGGGCTTCAAAGGGAAGCTGATCCACATCTTCAACAAGAACGGGCTCACGCTGGTCGAGTCCAACCACTTCCCGAAGCTGCGTGACCGACACAATGTACTGCTGCTGGGGGACTCGCTGGGGGACCTCAACATGGTCGAGGGGCTGCCGGACACGGACAATATCCTGAAGATTGGCTTCCTCAATGATAAAGTACTGCAACAAGGGTGGCTTGCTGAGATTTTAATTTTGAAGCTAGTTAAGCCTGAATTATGCATTTTTAATTGAGTGGTTCTTTGAGCACATCTAGCTACATTACATTTTATAGTTAATAAGACACTTTTATTCAAAGTAACTAATAGGCTGCGAGTGATCCTGCTTAGACCTTACCGTGTTGCTCTCCCTCTGGCCATTTCCAACAGGTGGAGGATTGGAGGGAGTCGTACCTGAACCGTTACGACATAGTGCTGGAGAAGGACGAGACCATGGATGTGCCCAATGCCATATTGCGTTACATCACAGGTCATCAGTGAAGATCCCTAGAAGGTTTCAGAGCAGAACTGGAGCTGGGTACTGATCCACCATCTTCCACCCCAGCAAGTATTTTTATTTATTACTCAACGGGTAATAACGTCGATTTCACCAAGGCCTTCAACAGCATCTGCCGAAATTCGCTTTGGAGCATAGCGTGGTCATACGGCATCCCCGAGCAGTTTTTTAAGACCTTCCGATCCCTTTACCTTGGATCTAGTTGCTGCGTGCAAACGGAAGATGGCAACACAGATTTCTTCACCATGGAGACCGGTGTGAGGCAGGGGTGAATCCTCTCCCTCTTCCTTTTAGCCATCGACGTCACTATGCGGATCGCCATGGAACAAGAAGGGTTTGGAATACCCTGGTGACCACCAACACGCCTGATCGATCTCGATTTTGCCGATGACATCGCTCTCCTCGCCGATACCAAGAAAAACATAAAGACGATGACAAGGAGCTTGGACCGAGAAGCTGCCAAAGTTGGGCTCAGGATAAGTGGAACTAAGACCAAGATCATGAGAATTGGATATGTGGCAGCAAACGACACCGTTATGGTGGGACAACAATCGCTCAAAGAGGTGGGCAGGTTCACGTACTTGGGTAGCGTCCTCACGAGCGACGGAGATGCCGACCATGATGTGGCTTGCTGGAATGTGAAAGCGAGTGCGGTCTTCCAGAGGCTACGGCCAATCTGGTCGACCCAGAAGATTGACATGGTGATGAAGATCCATCTGCACAGCAGCGGTGGTTGCGACGAATCCTGCAAGTCTCATACCGGGACCGTGTTACCAATGAAGAGATTCACCGCCGAACTGCCACCCGCCCCTCAATGACATCATGACCGAGCGACGCATGCGCTTCGGAGGACACATCCTCCGTCAACAACCACTACGTCTGCCAAAACCCGCCATCACCTAGGCGCCCCCAAGAGGATGACACAAACAAGGCCACCCCCGAACATCATGGCATCGGACTTTCATTGACGATCTACGTACCCTAAACATCGCATGGGATGAGGCCGAAGCAGCCGTGGCCAATCAAATGTGCTGGAGACAGCTTGCCGCCCAATGCACCGAACGGCGCAGGAGGATCTAAGTCTAAGTCAACAGGTAAACAATGCCCTAAACAATGAAAATACACTCCAGTTTCTCTGTAAAAACCTGGCAGCTCTTTATATATAGAACGTACTGAGGCCTGCAGTATTTTCCTAAGGTTTCTCCTGCCAGCTGAAAGAAGTTTGTTGCCCACCGGCTCTGCAGTTAGTAGATCTACTGTATCCCGCTTCTCTTTTGTCAATGTACAGTAATTTGAAATGTTATATGGTTTATATTTTGCTTTGCATGTGAAATCAGTCAGTACAGCAGAC